TGCTTGTTAGACTTCCCTGCGGTTTATAACCCACTAACCAGACATACTCGTTCGATTCTTCAAGTTGTAATCGTTAGCTAGAGGGGAGCAACATCCGGTTGAACTGTTCTCTCATTAGGACAACCTCGATTTACTTTACTTGTTTGTTTTCATTTGTAGATTTCTTAGTTTTAATCAAAAAACCGTTTTGCTAGATAACGACTAATTAAGCGATTGAAGCAGGAGTACATGGGCCGGCCCGAGTTAGAGAATTAAATACTTGCACCATACTGCACCCGGCTTGAGTTTAAAAACTTGGGCTCTAGTCGAGATTAATTCTCGATGTAGTTTTGTGCGAGTCAATGAGGACTCTAGGTATGTCAAGGAGTCTTAGTGGCAAAAAGCAACATGATGGAGGCTTGGCAAGGAGGCCCCAACCCCATCTAGTCAGGACACAACGACAAGATGGAACTCAACTCAACACCAATCAAGCCTGATGCCAAGCCACCAAGATGAAAGTTACCAAACAGTCACCAAAGCGGCAACGAGGGGCCCGAGGCAGTTTGGAGCAACATGCCAGCTAGCAGTTACACCAAATAACTATAAATAGGAGAAACGAAGACTAGAAAAGGGTTCTACAACCAAACATTTGACCCACAATGTCAAACTTTATCTTTTCTCTGCAAATTAGCTATATTTTTAGTTTCTGGAGCTCTCACTATACCTCCATAGGAGTAGAGTTAATTTAATGTAGCTTGTTCCCAAAAAATCCATAAAACACCGTTGTTCGAACATTGTTCGGAGAGGTGTAACCCGTGTATTAATCGTTGTTCAATAAGTCAGGTGGAAATCATGAATATCAAGCACAAGAGTTTCCTCGCCAAAAAACAATAATAATAAAATAAATTAACAAAAATAACGATAATAAATTTTATTATATTACTTTTTTAAAATATTTTCCACTTTTTCAATGGAATACACTAAATAACTTCAATCCTTGATCGTCAAATCCTTATTGATAAGGGGGCTTAAAAAGATAAGAATTATCGGGAAAAAAATACATAACACCACTTGAACAGTTTTGATTTGTAAACACACATTGATTTTATTTCTGTAAGAAACTTACAAATTACTTTTAATAAATTGGTGAATGTTGATGCATTCCGAGATTACAGTTTTCTCTATTATTACAGATATGCTGGCAATTATGGGTGTGCATTGGGTGGATGGGGCGGATTTCGACTATAAAATGCATCCACCCACGCTTAAACGGATTGATAATTTTTAACCCACACCCACCCACATTTAGTCTTGGATTGGGTCGGGCGGATGGTGGATGATGCAGGTAGGTTTGCGATTCACCCACATCACAATATACATAATACAAAGGAATCAACTTAACATGATAATCGGTGGAGAGAGTTATTGGGCAGAAACAAGAAGATGGAATAGAGGAAAAAACATGTCAAATTAGTTCTGAAATTTGATAGAAATTCTATTATGGAGGAGTTTTCTACAGATGGAGATGATTATCAAGCGTAAGGAACTAAGGAAAATAATTCAACGGAGGAAAGAGAGGTGATCTAGACACAACAATCAGAGAAAAAATAAAAAGAAGAAGAGGGGATCATGATTTGGAAGATTAGCTTCGAAGTCCAATCCCCAGGACAGCTCTAGTTTCCATCTAACGTCTCCACTCTCCCCTCTCCAGCGCCAACAACTTTGTTCTTTTTGCTGTTGGGTTGAGCGAGTCACCCGCGCACCAATGTAGTTAAACTATAGTTTTTATGTATAAGCGAAATGATGGGTACAAACTTAAGCGTAAAAGCGGAGCGTAAGAACGTAAGTTTATATGAACCATTGAAATTGTAAAAAAGCAACTTAAAAGACTAATAGGATCCACACACAGAAAATTGGAAAAGATTTTGAACTAGAGTACATTCTAACTCAGAACAAGTTCATAAACATAGAAAAAGAGTTGAATCGTACGCTAATATGAATCATAACTCTGAAATATTCATATTATGGACATCACAAGCCCCCCAAAAAAATTGATCATGATTTATGCTACATTTGGGCAGCAACGTCCACATTTCCATCCAAATCATATCATCTTAATTACCGCCATCATCATAGTTGTTATTGTCACTAACATCATGCTCCTCATAAATACATCAATCATCATTCATGTTAAAAGAATCATTTTGAAGCCAGCGGCATGATCACTTTAGTTTTTTCATCCACAAAAAACCATTTGACCATCGCACGACGTGCCAAATCGCTCCATAAACATTATCATTAAAAGCTCTTATAAGCGTCCTAAAAGCTAGCTTTTAAGGATTTTTTATGCACATATTGTGGTTTTAAAGAGTTTATATTAAGCTTATGGTGTCAAAAGATTTTTCAAAGAAAATTACTATATTGGAGGAGGTAAGAACTTAAAAGCGTAAGCTTTTAGGCTTAAACTATAGCTTTTAACTACATTGCGCGCACCCGTCCACAACCCACCCGCCACCCGTTGGATGGCTCCCAATGCAACACGTCACCCATCCAAATACCCACCCACATAACCAAAATTTGGGTCAAATGCGGGTGGGTTGGCCCAAACTCGCGGGTGATCCGCCGTATTTATTCTTTGCTAAAATAAAGGAAACTCAAGTGTTTGGGCCATTTCTAGTAGGGATGGGCATGCCAACGGATGACCCGCGAGTTTGGGCCAACCCACTCGCATTTGACCCAAATTTTGGTTATGTGGATTGGAATACCCTATCAGATGACTCCAAGGCAACCAGCGGGTATGTTTTTAACATCGCTGGTGGAGCTGTGTCTTGGAAGTCAAAGAAACAAACAATCATAGCTCAATCAACTATGGAATCAGAGATGATAGCACTAGCAACGGCTAGTGAAGAAGCAAGTTGGTTGAGAGGATTGTTGTCAGAGATTCCCCTATGGGAAAGACCGGTCCCTCCGGTATTGATCCATTGTGATAGTACCGCAGCTATCGCTAAAGTTGAGAACCGGTTCTATAACGGAAAGAAACGACAGATTCGTCGTAAGCACAGTACTGTAAGAGAACTCCTAACGATAGGAGCAGTGAGGGTGGATCATATAAGATCCGAACAGAATCTAGCTAATCCTTTGACGAAAGGATTACCTAGAGAGAAATTCCAGAACACCGCCAAGGGTATGGGACTTATGCCTACCGAACCACGGACTACAAGTGATGGTAACCCGACCCAATAGACTGGAGATCCCAAGAAATGGGTTCAATGGGTAATAACAAGTCATGAGTAGTATGCGAAAAGTTCATGCATAGTGAAGCATGAATCCCAAAGCAATGGAGGTTGAGTTAATAACTCTTAATGAGGTCTATACCCTATGTGGGGTGGAGTACTTTACTTTGGGGGTACTCTTGATAGACTCACCTATGTGAATGTGGGAGTGGGGCCGCTCCCTATGGAACTTTGGAGGCACAAAGTTGCTAGAGCGTTCACTAAACCAGGGTAACGTGCATGGCCATAAACGCACGGGCTATGAAGAGAACACAACTCAATGAAAAGATCCGGTGTGCTACACTGTCTGAGATAGGGTTCAAGACTACGAGTCACCCTTATGAAATCGGAAGTGTAACCACTACGCTAAGGTTCAAATCTTCGCGATACCTTAGCTTATGCCCGATCTTATGGAACTGTTGATGCTCAGAGATAGTTTCAAAACTATTCAAGTGGGGGATTGTTGGAAATGTATATGAATGTATATGAATAGCTTTGAAAGCTATAGAGTCTCTAGTGGAAAAACTACCACATTGGTAGTTTTACTTGGTGAAATGTGTATAAGGATAGGAGCCTCTCTCCCAAGGGCATGCCCCTTGGGGTGACCCACTTTTGTGGGAGAGGGAGGACCTAATGGACCACCACACACGCGTGCGCACGTGCGCCGTCCGTCCGTCCGTCTGACCGACCGGCCGGTCGGTCGGTCGGTCGGTTGGTTGGTTGGTTCACTTGAGACTATATATATATTTTTGGAGAAATTCCGAACGAAATTAATTATTTAATAATTAATTATTAATCTGTTATTCTGAGGTATATTCCTAAGGATAATCGACTAAAACGGAATATTCGAAGGATAATCCCTCCGGGTTTATCTTAACCGACGGTTTTAAAGTAATTATCTTCCTTAATTAATCCGACTTATTCCCCAAGCAAGAGGGTATATTCCTAGGGGTTCGGCTCCTATAAATAGCCGCCTCCCCAGCCCCTCTAAACATATCACAACGAGCAGAAACACAATAGAGAGAGTGTTTAGAGAGCTTCGGTTTTCGCACAAAACCGCGAGTATTGAGAGGAGCTGTTTTATCCTGGAGACGACCGGTTGATAGTCTGCCGTGCGCATCGAAGGCAGTGCCGCGAACGTCTTAAAGAAAGCGACCTAGTCCGCGACTCAGCTCCAGATTCGGTAACCTCGTTCCTTTTGTTGTTCTGTTCCTAACAGATTTTACTTCTGACTAAACTAGCTAATCAAGCTACTGAGAATTATTAGATACCCAAAATCAATAACGGTTCCATATCATCATCGTGCGACTAGTCAAGATATCTTTGACTCATTTCTCATTGAGCTCTTATATTTCTAAGTGCTCTTCGTTGGTGTTTGTCTCGGTGATTTCTAATTGACACATTATCTTACTAATATTTTACAATGCGGTGATGCACATGTAATTTTACGGATGTTTAACGCAAGGTATTCTTCACATGCGATGGGAAGGACAATCCTACAAGAAATTCAAGTGTTCCTATAATCGTTTTAGTGTCACGTCTGTATAATAGGGATACACATATCGTGAGAAAACAAGCACTTTCATTGTCTGATCGTACACTTGTCATAATACCTATGACAATAAAGAAAGTAGAGAAGTATGCATGCAGTAGTAACACTGATCATTGGATGAAATTCAACAACAAAGAAATCTCTTTCATTCTCCTATATTATTACTGGCTGGTATTACCATTTATCTCATCATCATCACCAAAACAATACATTAATTAGTATAGTTGCTGGAAACCCAGAGAAAAATAATATAAATATGGTTAAAAAACAGAGCCCCTCTCAGGCTCAGGAGAAGACGAAAAACAAGCATCTCCCTCATCAGGCCCGATAAAGAAAAGATGGCAACAAAATTATCATCAGGATCTCAGGCATCCCACACAGACACTCACAAATTAAATTATAGAGTCAATCAGATCTCTCCTCCTCTCAATTGCAGAAAGAATAACCCTCCACAGATAATTAAAAAATAATTGTATGGCCGGCCACGTCAACAACTATTGCTTGCTCTCACCCGCTTGCTTGCTGCTGCCACCTGCCCTCTTCTTCCCGTTCTTCTTGCCTGCATGAAAATCCAATCTCGTATGAAGAACGAGTTGATCCCAATTTTACGAATTTTAACCGCGATAAAATAAAATAATTAATTACCTCGTCGGTGCCTCCTCTTGGAGTTAGCAACATGAGGGATGAAAACTCCAGTCCCGGTGTTAAGAGCAGCACTCCCCCACGAAGAATTCCCCTGCCAGCTGGCACCACCACCGGCAGCACTACTGCTCTCCCACAGGTTGAAATACGGAAGTTGATTCATCCCGGCGGTAAAATCTGCCACCGCCGACCCGAAATTACTCCAACTATTGTTGTAACCCTCGTTGCTATTTACCGACGTCGACCTCTTCATGCCCATCACGAAGTTGCCATAACCACTGCTGCCATCATCGAAACGACGCCGTTGAGCCTCTTCCTCGAATGTGGTTACGTCATCTTCATCGTCATCGGCCGTCAGCAGCAGGACCTGCCGGCTCAGCTCCGCGTACAGGATATCGTCCTCGTCTATCCCGTGATCACCGCCGCCGATGGCCGACGCCTCCGCCTCCGACGCCGCCACGTGGAAGTAATCCGAGCCCCAATAATTGTCCCGATCGTCCAGTCGATGCTTGCCGAAGATCAAGCTGTGGTACACGTCCAAGTTCATCATGGCTAAAGAAAGAAAGAAAGAAAGAAAGAATGGTTGGATGAGTGAGGGGTTGTGTTATTATTTGGTTGCTGCCGGGACTGAAACTGTTTGAGTAATAGTTGTTGGTGATGGATTTGTGCGTATATATAGATGGATGGATCAAATAAATGGAAGAATCTAGGGGCCGATTTTGTTTCTTTCTAAGTTAACGGTATTATCCAACTTGCCCGCCATTGCTTAAAGTCTGCAGAAGTAGGAAATATATATGCTCCAATTTGGTTTGGACTTTGGAGGTTGCCAAATGTTGGCCTTGCAAGTGCACCATGCCCTCAATTTTTGTGTCTTTATGTGATGAGACGACTGACGAGCTATCATGATAATTCAATAATTTATGGCCTTAGTAGTTTATTAATTAGTTCGTATTTAATTATTATTTGATATATTAATATTGTTAATATTTGTTAATGAATTAACTAGGGTTCCTGTAGTAGGAGTTGTTATATTTTGGGTAGAAAAGGGAAGGAAGGTGGTCGAACTAGGGAGGGAAGAAGAAGGATTTTGGAGATTTTTGTGCTTATAATTATGTTAAATACAATTTAATATTCAAACCTTTCATTTTAAACAATATAATAGTCAAACTTTTTCGAAAACAATCTAATATCTAAATCGTCAACTTTCCGTTCGTTTGACCGTTAGTTGACACTTCAAAAAAGTTCGAAGTACGACGCTTCATCAATATCCATCGATGTCTTCTCTGAAAAACTACCAACATATCGTGGTTCCAAACCCGAGAAGTCAATGACTCCACCATGATGGTATAAAATATCTAAATATTCAGTCATTTGCAATGCCAAAACAAGAAAACAAAGTTGTATTGTGACAATTTCCCCTAAACAAAGCTTTTTTGAAGTGTCAACCAACGGTCAAACGGACGGAAAGTTGACGATTTGGATATTAGATTGTTTTCGAAAAGCTTTGGCTATATTATATTATTTAAAATGAAAGGTTTGGATATTAAATTGTATTTACCCTTATAATTATGTACTCGTACTCTAATTTAATGTCATTCAAAAATTGGAAACCCAAATATTTACCATTTGCTTTTCTTTTATAGTAGCTTCCTTCGATTTAACGTTCTATTTCATATGAGACTTCGAGACGGCATTCCATCAGTTATGTTTACATAACACCTACCATATAAAAATTAGTTGATTGAATCGTCTTTGAGGAATTTTACGATGATCATAAGCATCAATATTTTTGGGTACAAGTTGAATTTGTACCATAACATTGACGATACAAGTTCAATTTGGATCACAAAAGAAATTTGTACAAAAAGTTAAGAGTTATTTACAAACCGATGGTCACCGACAAGGCTGTATTCTCCAATCTTCCGCTCTATCAATTTTTCAGGTATCCACGAGATCAAAATATATACTCTAGAACATATGTACAAATATCATATATGATTTGCCGAATATGTTAAGAACCAATTGGTACCAGGCACTAAAATGTTTGTCATAAAACAAAATTGATTTTAGTTTATTAGTGTCAGTTTGATATGAGGGCATGAGACTGTAGTCTCAAAAGGTGTTTCGTCGTCTGTGTATGCCAATTGGAGGACAGATATGATCCCAAGGCGATCAGTGATGAGGATTAATTAATAAATCGTTGTGGTCTTGATGATAAATGGTCGTCGTCGTGACGGTGCCAGCTGCCGCCGTTAAATGGATAGTTTAATTAGCAGTAGGGGGATAATAAGTTAATCGAGAGGATCACGAAGTAGATTGACTCCCGCAACGATCACCGTTAGGTTTGCAGTTTTGTTCTTTAGGCTTTGTTTTTTGTTTCAGGCAAACACAAAAAAAGTACCGATATTTGGACGTTTGAATTAGTTGCATGGAGCTCCCCAACTCTCAGACACTGTCTTTGATCGACGGATGTATAAGCAAATCCTGCGTTTGCCTCTGCATCTGCCGGCCAGGTGAAATCTGACCATTATTAGGCTGTAATTGCACTTCGTATGCGTTACTGTTCTCTCAAACCCATCGCCTTCTCTTTTCATTTGGGACGCACTGGCTGAGTTTTCTTTCGATACTACTTCGCCAAAAAATGGTATAAACCCCTCGATTTAAAAATATATTCACAATTCGTATGTCAAATGTGAGAGGAGATAATATCGAGTGAAAGGAAATGGATAGTTAGGGATTTAGACTGAATGGTCAACTATGGAATCAAACCGATTGTAACTACTCTGGTCAATAACCCATTTCTCCAAGTATCACTCGAGTGAGCCTTACAAAGACAAGCCCATAGATCCGAAATAATTGATCCGGAACTAAGACTCGTATAGGCCCAAACTCGTCGAAGAAGGTAAGTAAATGATCGTCTTCTTCTCAGAGCCAACACTGACTCGAGCCAGGGAGAAACAGAACAGAGGAGGAAGAGAAGAAGTAGGAAGTTGCAGAAGGTAAAGAACACAGCCGATTTTAACGAGGTTCACCACAGGGCTACTCCTCGTCCCAGGATAGTACCACTATCCTGAGAGACACTTTTGATTTTCTTTTATGACTCAAGCAACGAGAACAAAACAATCAAAATACAGACTCTGGTGAGAAAATCAAAAGGTCAAAACTCTAGACCAGAATTCTCGCAGAAATTCGATACACCCTTTGATCAAGCTGAACCTATACCCCAGCTTAGATCAAAGCCATTGATCCCTAAACCCAACCCTTTGCCCTTTGCCACAAAGAATTCCCTGTTTTTCTCAATAACGAGCTCTTCCCCTGCTGCTTCTTTAAATATGCCTTCAGAGAGCCGTTGGTGTATGAAAATTGAGCAGAATAGGTAAGTTGAGCAGCTGGTAATTTGAGATCCTTGATTGATTGATCTAATCCCCCTTGATTCGTGCTTTGGCAATCTCCTAACTTGATCTTCACCATCTCAACAATCTCCCCCTAAGTTAGAGATTGGCGATTGTCCGCTTGAACCCGGCAAAACAGTTTACACCTCTCCATGCACACACAACGATTAACCAGTTCTATCATATCAGACATTTAAAAATATCCAGGTACAGATTACACCTTTCCTTGCACACCAACGATTAACTAGTTCTACCACATCACACATTCAGCAAGTTTTAAAAATATCCAGCAAGCATTCAACAGTCATGAGCACACCAAGCACGTCTAGCGAACCAAAACAGAAGCTGGGAAAAACACGTCCAGCAAACCAAAAGGTCAAAAGAAACATCAACTAAGAAAAGTTAATCAGATCCATAAACATCCTAAAGGGCAGCGAGCACATCATTCAACGGAGGGGATCCAGGATCAGAGTCATCATCACTCTCACTGCTGCTGCTAATCCAATGTACTTCTATATCCTGATTTGGCTCTTCTTCCTCAGATTCAGAATCGTTATGGACCTCTTCTTCAATAGGTTCCTCCTCTGGTTCCTCAGAGTTCGTGGAATCGGAGTCCGAATCATCCTCCCCCTCAACGGCAACGACAATCTCGTCCAGAACATCATCAGTAGTGATAAAAATGGTGGGAGTGGTGATGCGGAAAGGGTCAAGAGAAATCTCAAGACGAGAGATAAGACGAGTAATCAGGGGACCAAAAGGAAGATGACCATGGTACTCAAAGTACGGGAACATGTAGAGATGTCCAAAGAGCAGATGAGAGTAGTCAAGTGGGACATTGGTCACAACATGATGAATGACCCAGAGATCCAGAGGGGTGACTCGATCTAATAGGACAATCCTAGGAAGGAAGCGATGAGTGAGGAAAAAATGGAAGGTGCGAATAGCAGGGAGCAGGAATGTGGTGGGGAGAGTGAGCAGAGCATCAGGAGTATGGCCAGTCAGCTGCACAAACTCGTGCTCAATATTGAAATTAAACAGCACAAGCTCGGACTCATGAGCTAAAATTTCACCGACCTGGGGAATGGGAAGAAGACGCCTGAGATCCTCAATGGGAATGGTAACAAGATGGCCATAAATCAGGGTAGTAAAAGTACCAAGGCCAAAAGAGCGAAAGTTTGAATAAAACAGATGAACCCCCTCAGGACAAATATGCCCAGGAGTTTCATTGATAAGAAAGTCCCAACCCAGATTATGAATAAGTTGAGTGAAGTCAAGACCATACTCAAGTAAGCCAGCATGAGGAATCTGATAGGTGGGAATGATAGGGCGACGAGCATAAGAGACACCATGCCTATGGGCATTTGCAGGGATAGGGTCATGGAACAGAGTACATGTGTAGGTGATGGAAAACTTGAACACCATTGAAAAAATTGAGACAAACAGCTAAGAATCGAGCTATGGATGAAGGAACAAAGGAAAACACACAGACCTATAAATACTAACCCAACCCACGAAGATATGGAAAACACATAAAAGGAAGAAACAAGAAAGGAAAACAAAAACAGAAAAGTAAGGAAGGAAGATCAGTCAATCAGATCAAATTATCCAGATTCTTTGGAGATCGAAGCCCGAGTTCATAGCAAAGGAAAGTGAATCGATCTGCATTTAATGGCTTAGTAAACAGATCGGCTAGTTGAAACTCGGTTGGGATATGATTTAATTGAATTAAATGTTTCTCGACTAATTCCCTAATAAAGTGAAACTTTACTTCTATATGTTTAGTCCTAGAGTGCCGAACAAGATTTTTGGACATACATATGGCACTAGTATTGTCACAAAATAATGGGATAGACGTGGCATTGATTTTATAGTCTTGAAGTTGATTTTTAAGCCAGATGAGCTGAGTACAGCAGCTCCCTGCTAGAATGTACTTGGCTTCAGCCGTAGAAAGGGCAACTGCCCCTTGTTTTTTGCAGGACCAAGAAACTAACGAAGTTCCTACAAATTGGCAAGTTCCAGTAGTACTTTTCCTATCTAAGAGGCTACCAGCAAAGTCTGAGTCGCTATATCCTAGTAAATTGAAGTTGTCATGACGAGGATACCACAACCCTATCTCAGGAGTGCCTTTTAGATATCAAAAAATTTGTTTTACAGCACTAAGATGGCTTTCCTTGGGGACAGATTGAAACCTAGCACAAAGACACACACTGTGTTGGATGTCTGGACTACTAGCAGTTAGGTATAGTAATGACCCTACC